AAAAATAATTGAAAATAAACCTTGTTGATCAATTTTGGTACTCACTGTATCTTGAAAAAAAACTCTTGTAAGCTAAAAGAAACAGATTGTTAAGGTGGATGAACAGAAGTGACAGAGCTACATTTTCGAGATATTTTTAGAAAGAAAATATATTACATCAAACATAGCATATGTGTACATGGATTATTTTATCATGGACTCAATAATTCCATCAATATGAAAGTCTTGTTTTCGACATAAAATTTGTAATCAAGCTTTCATTCGAATAGACTTTAGTGGATTTTGATTGCATGTTTATCAGGAAAACAAACAAAATTAGATTGTAATCCATCATTATCTGGCTCAAAATCAAAATAGAATTTCACTATTTTAAACTAATTTTAATCACAAAATTCAATCTTCAATCGATTCATATGGGGTTTTCTTGATAAAAAGGTTTCACTGAATAGAGTATTGTCCATGAATCAATATTATTAAACCAATGCGAACCGAGGGTGTCGGGGTGTCGGTGTGGGTGTGGGGTGTGAGCGTGTGTGCGACTGTGGCTGTGGGTATAGGTGAAGAGAAGACATACGCTCCACACCTATGCCCATATCTACACCCACACCCACATATCCACACTCACACCCACATATCCACACCCACACCCACCCCACACCCTACACCCACACCCACACACCACACCCACACACACCCCACACACCCACACCCACACCACATACCCACACCCCACACCCACACACCCCACACACCCACACCCACACACCCAATTAACGAAATTTCAAGAAGAAAAATTCATAAACTTTCTTGAAATTTCGGAAATTCGTAAAAACACGCTAACTTTTTCACGTGTAATTCTCTTTTTAACGGCAACTAACTCGTTGCATGTCAGCAAATGTTCATTCGTTTTCAGGTGTGAGTACTTTGGACGATGTTTCTTGAGTTTTTTTAACAAATGTTACAGGATTAACTATTATTAAATGTTGCGTTTGTTTTCATGCGTGTAGTACTTTAAATTTTCTACTTGGATATATATGCTACCTGTATGATGCGTTGTACTCATGTATTCCTTTCTTGTTCAGTTCAACATTGATTTCTGTTTTCTTTCACGTGAGAGCAGACCCATACAAAAACAAATGATCAACTGCTTTCTTTTTGGATAATTCCTAACTGAGGAAAAACTGGTTAAGAAAGTAGAGGCTACACACAAATTTTAAATCGACAACAGTATAGTTGCACATTTGAGTAAATGAACTATTTTTCCTGAAAACTCAAGATATATTTATGTAGTTTGACTTGAGATTTTTCGTAATAATCCATTGTTAAGAAGTTAAGATAAATTATTATTTTTAGCTCATCAAATTGATATCCAATATAAAAACGATGATGTGTTCGTCTCAGCTAAGTATGCCAGCTGGTATATACGTTATTATTCAGCATTTTTCATACCTTGTTCTCTTGACTAAAGGAAAGGTCGTATGAAATAAAATGCGTTTGTATCTATGTGTCAAGGTCAAAAAAACATCGGCTTAAACATCAATGGTCAATTCTTTTCGATATCGAACTCCTGTAAAGTGACTAATGGTTTTCGAGAATGAGGAATCGAATGGTATCATCAGTTTTGAAAATTTTTTCTATAAAGAAGCAAAGCTATGGAGAAAGTGTATTCTTTTGTATTTTGTTTCGAGGTATTTTCTTGAATATTTCTATTTTCATTAATTCAACGAGGAAATGATGTAATTAAAATATTATACGCTGAAAAACGTGAAAAATTTAAGAGCAAGTTTACGTCTTGCGGTCCCGGTTATGGTCCACACTACCGAGATCAGCAAACCAAAATGGGTTCCCCGCATTTCTATGTAGCTTTTGCTCATCCTATCTAATAGCTTATTGTAGTTGTTTTAATCAAATATTCCCTCGACTGACGGGATGGTCATATAAGATAAAATAAGTTTGTATGTGTCAGGATCAAAAGAACATCGGAGTCAAAAAAAAAACATCGACCAAAAGATCGATGGTAAGTTGTTTTCGACATCTAGATCTTGTAAATAGGATCTGGAAATACAAATAGTTTTAGACAAAAATGAAAATTTGAGAGGAAGAACAAACGTCGTCGGAATACGGTGTGAGAGGATTGGGGCATGGATTTAATTCAATCATGACAATCGACTGCGAGCTGTTTGCTTAAGTAAATCTTAGAAATTCAGAATGGAAAATAGAAAGGTCCGAATCTTTTACAAAATGGTCATCATTGACAATACTATGGACAAATTTTCGTCTGTGTATGTGTTGCACAATAATTGTCAAAACAGAACTCAGAAAACAATAACACATGATAATAAGATTGAATTCATTCGAGGGTTAAGCGAGTCCTACCCACGAGCGTGTTACTTGTTATTAACTGCGCGTATCAGGAACTTTCTTCAGTGATCAATATTTTCTTAAGTATCATTTATCTGAAGCGAAATATTCAACTAAACAGTTCAGCATCAGAGATATTTTCTAATAAGATACTTACGAAAATTTTGTTATCATTCCAATTATTTCGTAATAGATAGGAAAACCAACCATGGAGTAAAACATTTTTATTGGTATCTCAAAATTTAGAGTCGTATAGTCTTATTGTATCTCTCATGCTATGATATGCATTTTTAATACATATATGGATTCGAAATTCTAGCGAGAAAAGCCATAACTAGTTTTAACTTTGCGACATCAAGAAAAGAAAAAAATATTGTACTCCATAATTGGTTTTCTTACCTACTACGAAATAATTGGAGTGATAACAACATTTTCGTCAGTATCTTATTAGAAAATACATCTGATGCTTAACTGTTTAGCGGAATATTTCACTTCAGATTAATGATACTTAAGAAGATATCGATCACTGAAGGAAGTTCCTCATACGTGCAGTCAATAACAACGTACGAAAAATGCTAAACAAAATTGTATATACCAGTTTTTATAATTAACGCGTTTTCACGCATTTTTGGATGAACTACAGCCTGAAGAATCAATAAAAATTTACCTACTTAACGAAAAAAACACGTTCAAATTTCAAAACGCGTGTAAACGCATTAGTTTTGCGCACGTCTAACGCGTTTTCATGGTGAGAATTGTAACATATTTAATCGTAAAATCGTTAAACTTTTAACGAATTTTCACAACACAAGATTTCGTTAAATTGGCAAAAATTTTTACATGGGGATCTCCGGGGCGTTTACCTGTATAAAATATTGGTTTTGAAGAAGATTTCAAGAACTATTTTCAAATGGATATCGATTTTTCACTGTCCATTTTCATAGATTTTCATGATAATTTCAGCTCAACTTATACCCAAATGCAACCCGAAGAAGGTTGTATTAACAGTAATATCCTTACATCTTGCCAGCACTGTCTCAATTTCACATCTTAAGGATACTCATTTGAAAATCTGAAGACTTTACCGGGTGCGTGTGAGCATGCGGTCCATATGCGTGTCAAAATGGGTTAGGGCGTTAGTGAAGTAATTATTAAGACCCACACCCACCCTTGCTGTAAGTATTGCTTAGACATTATAAAATATCTAAAAACAAGAGTTGTCGTTGTGTTATCAAACGAACTACACCGTATCTCTCTTTGCAACGAAGAAAAAATAGATAACCTATACATAAGAGCTAAAAGAATCGTTGATTTATACTCAAGTCATACCAGACTCTGGACACAATCCTTTTATGCGTCGTCAAAAAAGAAAGAAAATAGTCAATTTTCATCATCATATCTTGTGGCCTGTATTGGCAACGCAGATTGAAATGTTCTATTCTGTTGTCTCCTTGTAGTCTTTCACAAACGAAATGATATTATATTGCCTTCTAATAAAATTTATCTTATCTTTCTCACCTCTTGAGTGAAAAAAATAGTCAATTATCATTTCTTTTCTCCAGTAGGCAAAAGTAACAAGGCGAAAAGAGAGAAATGGCAACGAACGTTAAAGCTTCACAACAATAGATGTTTCATGAGGCCAGTGAAAATAATAAAACATTTTTATGGCATCAATTTATGCCTAATGTGCTTCATGACATTTCTCGCTCATTGGCAGCCAACAAAGATATTTTTACGGCGTGTTCTCAACTAGCAGATGACAATGATATCAATGATCGTATTGAATTGAAACAAACGATATCGATGATTTTCAAATCAATTATACCTTAGATAGCGCTCTCAAATGATATACACATAATTCATTTTTTTATCGTGCATTGAACAAAGGTTGCCGAACGCTCAATAGCGATGCAATAATATAACTTCATCCAATTATTAAAGTTTCCAATAATCATTGGAAACAATTACATGTACAACAGAAGAAAAATGGAACACTTGTACTATCATTAATAGTTTATTGTGGACAAACAAAAGGCGGCGTAGACGAAGTAAAAAAAATTCGTGCAAATATTGGTGATCTTATATCAATGAATATGTTTTTATCTACAACGGCCGATTCAATTGTAGTCTCTGCTTATGCTTATGGTGCCGATAGAAATACATCTGTACTATTTTAAACTACAGTGAATGATAAAAAGAACGAAAAGAGGCTGTGGGTGTGGGTGTGGGTGTGTCACTGAAGACAATTTCCAAATACCCATATCCACACTCACACTTTTAAATGCAGGGGTTTAGTGAATATTCATATTCTAAGAGCTCTCCACCTATATGCATACTCAAACACACGCAGCACTTCGCATACATGTTTTACACACATCTTTGTTTTTAAGCACGAAACGCTACACATATTTAATAAAATATTTCATAAAATGATAGATGATTTCGTCACTATAGTTATTACACTATCAATTTTATATAATCGAACGGTTTACATATCTTCCGAATATATTTTTTTTAAATTTTAAGTGACGAAAATCAATGTTGAGAGGCTTTAATTCCTTCATCAAATGCCTCAGTTGTCATGATAAATCCAACTCCTAGAGCACAATTGTATTCAATACATTCTGTAGCAAATGATGGACTTGTTGTACCACATCCATCACGAAGCAGAATACAATCAAAACCTTTGTTAAATGCATCTTGCAATGTGCCTGAAACGCATTGGTCAGTATTGACACCGGCAAAGAAGAGTGTAATGATTTTATTATCATGAAGATAAGAGAGCAGTGGAGAATTATGGGCCCACAAACCGGATGGACGATTCTATAGTATACATTATAGTATCAACTTATGAATATACCAATGAATAAGAGTAAACTTACTTTGTGAAAACATTTATCAGGCTTCGCAGTGCTCTGGCTACTTTTGTAACTTTGAAAAAGTGGATCATAAAGTTTAGCGTTCCAAGTATCACGCATCAATAATCTTCCACCATCCACATGATCTCCATTAGGCAATGTAACTTCGCCTATACTAGTTCCAAAGCCTTTGTAAATTTTGTTTGATTTCGCCGGCACATTTTCTGATGAGTTTATACAGTCGTATGCAAACAATCGTTTGAGTGCTGGAGGTGCTTGATCTATGTCTTCGTCTGTCAAACCCCAATTGAGCCAGAGAATTTGAATGCCTGCTTTTCGTGCAGCAGGAATAGCGTACTTAAGCAATTGCTCTGACGCGATAAGTCCTGTCTCATGTGGCATTAAAGCTGGGTGCAGAAAACAGTTTTGCATATCGATAATAATTAAAGCAGAACGTGCTGGATCAATAATAATCGGTGTAGTCGTTGTTTCAAAACAAATGGGAGAACAAGCTTGATGATTATTCTGTCGAGTCAAATCAAAGCCATTTTTATTTGAGTATTGCCAGAAATTGGACATATTGCCGAAAATGATGCTGTTATTGTTTCCTTCATTTGTGACCATTTCCATGATGAGGATTAAGAACCGCAAAATTATTTAAACGAATGTTTCAACTATCTTTTTCTATCCAGTTGAGTTTTTTGTGAGACCAACAACGAATATGTGATACGACAACATGCTTCTCATTACATTTGATATTCAGTATTTATTTTACTTCTTGATAACAGTATGTTAACTTTTTGTATCATGTTGTTCTTCAATAGACATACACTATTAAAAACGACTGAAGAATAATAAAACCTCGACATCGGTTTATTACCATTCGATAAATACTTTTTTAGGTTTATTAGCGTAATATACCGTTTCATCAACCGTTTTTCGTCATCAACCTTGGCAAGAGCTTGTGATGTGTTTCAAATTCATAAACATTTGTACTATTTAGGATGTGAGTATGGGTATTGTCAGATGCTTTCATTCATATAACACCTACACCCATAGCCACGCCCACACCCTTACGTCACAGAATTTGCCTTTTTATTGCATCCGTAATATTGCACTAATTTGAGTACTCTATACAAGAGAAAAACTGCACAACCATGATGAAAATTGATAAAGCATTATCAAACAAAACAGAGATAAAGAAATATATATTGCAACAGACATTCATGTAAATAAAAACAAACTTTTCAAAAGTGAGCAACATTAATGTCAGAAAAAATATCTCCGTATCTCTTAGCATTATCTGTTGAGTTGGTCTATCGTATTTTGAATAAGCTCGATGAATTAACAATTTTATGTTCAGTTCGTAATGCATGTATATGGGGGAATGCAATCACTGATACTAGGTAAATTTCCGCTTAACCATCTTCAAAACATTGTTTAGCTCAATATATGATTTCTTTGGTTATTTCTCTTCTTGATTTTAGAATACAGCTTGTCCAGCTACCTGTGCTACGAGATAGTCAGTGTGTTACTAAGTTAATCTTTTTGTTATTCTCAACAACGTGAGCAATATTTACTTAGCAGAGGATACAAAATGTTATTGATGTTTCGGTATAAATTCATTCGAAATTGGTGCAGACGAACAAAAATATGAATGTAGTAACGCATTCAACTCCACCAGTACAAGTAATTGGACAAGCTGAAAAGTAGAATTTCAAGGCTAATAATATATCTGTGACGAATATTATCTGAAAGGAAAGAATTCATTATATTATCCAAGCGATTGCCAAGGATTATTTTGAGCTTCTTATCTTTTCTTCAGTTTTTTAACAAATACGAATCCAAATGATATATGTTTAGAAAATATCGAGCATTCTACAACAATTGTAGAAAAAACTCTCCCCAAATGAATTATATTGAATTGGAGGTTTTAGGAGAGGTCAAATTGAATTTCATGAATTATACGCTTCTTGGACTTGAGAAACTTCAATACTATTTAAATAAACGAAGGCATCACAAGCGAACATATAAGACATTGTAAGAGTTGTGAAAACTTTAACAATTCTTTGAAATCAAGACTGTCATACAATTTTCGGAGGAATCTCAGTAAGTTCTTATAATCAAAGGAGATGAATTAGAAGTAATTTTCGTCAATTTTAACCTTGACAAGTGTGGTAATCATTAAATACAATGAATGCAATGTAAATTTTTGGAAACCTGTGCTTTCTAAATTGAGGTTTACTTAAGAGAAGATGAGTGATTTATTTAATAGATGGAACGATCGTCTGAGTCTAGAAAGTACTCTAGTTCATCCTTTTTCTCATATGAAAATGAATTTTCAAGCTTGAACGAATACGCACCGTGCAAAAATATGAACCAGGCTTTTTGCTTCGGATTTAAGATGACTGAAGCAAGCTCTTTGCTACTCGTGTACAATTTTTGTGTCAAAGCGCGTCTATTTTCCCGTGGGTATATACTTGATTATTAGATTGTAAGACTAATCAACATATTTTGCCAGTCTTCCTATTACATTCTCAGGCATATGATGTATTGCATATGGTATTCTACCCTAAATCGCACGCAAGCAATGCACACCTTTGTCTGATTATCGGTATTACTCTTATCCTCGAGATAGTTCAAGGGTGATTGTAAGTGTCTGATTGAGAAACGAAATCAGACTCACACTCTCATCATTACTATCACTTGTTGATGTGCTAGTTGGTCTGTATTATCGTCAATCATTGAGTTAGCCCACACACATTTACGAGATGAAGGTTCAGAAAAATTATATTTTTCAAGTACATCACTAGAAATCATACTAGGTAACGTTTTGCTGTACTAAACGAGAAAAAAATGAGGACATCAGAACATAGCGTTGACCATAGCGGTCTCTTTTATGGTATACGCTGGAAATGAAAATATCATTAATGCTAACGTGTTGCTGTTGATGATTATTTTGATCCATGGTTGCCATGCTTTACCAGTTCTTTTCATAGCAGGTATCCTACGGAGTATCCATAAGTCCTCAGGGGCTATCCTACGAAATACCCTTAGGTCTCCACGAGCTATCCGATGAGAGTATTCTTAGGTTTTCAAGATTTATGCAGTACATAGCAATTTTATAAGTGTTTGCTTCTTCTTTAAGCAAAGTAAAAATATGTGAATACATCCGTTTTTGGATGACCTGTTGAGAGATGAGATGGCTAGTATGAAGTGAGTTCGAGTTTATAATTTTTGATCGTTTAGAAAGAAGAGCTTTAGCTATGCTCCGTCAACGGGCAATATCAAGAACATTGACCACGAAATTTTGAATTGTAATTCATTTACCAGAAATCCGTCAGCTCGAAATTTCAGTCTCATATCATACAATTCACCTCATCTCTGAACAAGTCATCCAAAAATGGATGTATTCACATATTTTTACTTTGCTCATAGAAGAAGCAAATACTTATAAAACTGCTATGTGCTGCATAAATGTCTCAAACTCCTCTGTATATATATGTGTTGCATTCAATTCTCATACGTTAAAAATAATATAAAAAATTCATTTCAAAGCGGGCAAGACTTTTGTCGTCGACTAATTATTGATTTATTAGTTTATTATCACAGGTTAATCACATTCAAATACGCCAAAAGTTTCGTCGAATTATAGACCGAAGGCCTCAAAAAAATCTGAATCTAATTTTATTACTTCGAGAGGCAGCATTGAACCCTGAGTATTTTGGGGTGTGGAAGGGTATGGGTGATTGTAAATTGTAGGTCCAAGCGCACACCCGCACTCTACCCACTTCTACACCCCACACGCATACCCACCCACACCCACATCCTCGAGTATTTAACGAGTTCTTATTTGCTCTGATAGGAAAAGAAATGTTGCATACAACGAACCTATTTTCGACGAAATAGAACCGTATTTTGATGAAACTTCTGGTTCAAAACTAGTTTTTAATGCGGATAGGGAGTGCTTCCGATCTTTCTTATTATCTTAGTACTTTTGAAAACGAATGAGATATTTGTAATCAGCGCACTTGGTACTATTGAACTATAAAGACTTGTAATAGAACAATGACAAAAGTTTTTTTGGATACCTGAGGGGGAGCCCGGGTGTGAAAAGTTGGGTTGTGACAAAATAGAAAATAAAATTATGAGAAATACTCAGGGTTCAATGGTGACTCCAAAAGTAATAAAATTAGATTCAGATTTTCAAGACCTTTGGTCTATAATTCGACGGAACTTTTGACGTATTGGAATGTGATTAACCTGTGATAATAAACTAATAAATCAATAATCATCAACTACATGCTTTACTTTATCTTATTTTACTTCATCTTACTTGTATAGTAAAGTTAAAGATACACTCACTTTACTTTACTTTATTAAAGCAAAATAAAGTTAAAGTGCCACCCCTATGCATGACATTGCCGATTTAAGCAAACAACCAAATTTCGTTTCCTAGTGTAACCCTTTTAGACATGTTTTTGCTTTATCGTTGGATATTTGAAAAAACGAATATACTAGCAGATACACATCAAATTAGAACTGCTGTATACGAGAAATTCGATCAAGCATCGGCTATATATTTACGATTTAAGCTCATGCTATACACATTCAAAGATTGAATTAGGCAATTTCGTACTGCCCCAAATTTCTGTTGTTTTAGTATTCTTGACTAATAAAATCTATGACATGCTGTAAGTTCTATTTTGAAGGACAGATGAAATAAATGATATTGTTCGATCTTTAGAGTCAACATCCATTTTCAGACGACTGATATATTGGAACAACTGGTTGCACTCGTTGTGCCCATTCGAGAAGAAGCCGCACGCGTCTTTTTAAACAGTTCTGATGGTCATCAAATATTTGAACTCGAACAAAATCTTGGGTATTTAGGATAAAGATGAACTTCTCGAGATTCGACTACAAGACACAGTTGCCATATTGAAACTCAAGATTTTGATTTGTTTCTATTAGACCTAGGACAGTTCCATATCAGTTCCGCTCTTGAGAACTATTCAACCAGTTCTTTCATAGGACCTGATCTGTGCCTACCAGTTCTTTGATAGGAGCTAATCTGTACCTACAGTTGGGTGGGTATATGGGTGTGTCGGGTCACTGTACCCAGTTCTTAGAAAATATACAGTTCATAGAACTGAGAGCTGTCATAGGCCTAATTTGTATATTCTACCAGATTGTTGTTCACTCACTTTCCGTAGTAAATTACTTGACGAGCAACAAACATTAATTCCACATGGATCTGGAATAGTTTGTTATCGCCTGTGATAGGAGGCATGAATTTTTCTCAAGAATCTATTACACCTAATGAAGAGAATGAAAATAGTTCATATTGCATAACGAAAGTGTCTACCAATAATAAGGTTGATGAACGTCAGCGAGCAAAAAAGAGAATCTTCTCCGCATGAAAACAATTTATGGAAGAATTTTTATATTTTTCAACCAAAATTCCACTCCTCTCTCATTCGTCTAATATTGTAGGCATTGCCATCTGGAATGTTCGTTTTGATCCAACCAGTACTATTTGGAATAGAACAACACATTAGTGTGAACAAAGATTTTGT